CTCAGGACTGCAGGGACAGGCCAGGGAGCAGGCCCTGGGCTTCTGAAAGCAGAGCCCCAAGAGCCCTGAGCCAGGACACTGTCCTGGGCCTGCGGTGTGCAGATGAGACAGAAGCCTCACTGTGGCCATTTTTCCAGAGAACGTGCATGAATCCCAAGGTGGCAGGGGCGCTGAGGCCGCAATGCTGCAGGGCTCCCTGCCTGGGGCAGCTCCGAGTGAGGACAGGGCATGGAGCGCGGGCAGCTGAGGCGTCACATGGACCAACTGCAGCATCCCCTGGTGCCATCAGCCAGCCGGGGCCCCTGGAGTCAGAGCTCCTCAAAAGCACAGCCGAGCTGACTTCCTGCCACGAGCTCAACCTCCCACCCACAAAGGCCACAGAGGGAAGGTCCCAGGTACACGGAGGGGTGACTGGCAGGGTTCCAGCCTCAGGGCCTGCGGCTCCACAGCGTGAGTCCAACAGGGAGAAGGCACCTGGGCACAGGTCACACGACAGGGGTCAGCCCAGAGGGGCACCTGTTATGACTGAACAGTGTCCCCCCCACCCCCAGATTCATAGGTTGAAGCCCTAATCCCCAAAGGGACCATATGTGGAGACGGGGCCTCTAAGGGAAGGGTAAGCAGGTCATAAGGTGGGGCCCTGATCCCAGAGGGCTGCTGTCCCTATAAGAATGGGGGGACTCCAGGGATCTCTCCATGTGAGCACAGAGGACAGGCCACATGAGGACACGTGAGAAGGTGGCCGTCTACAAGCCAGGAAGAGAGTCCTCACCAGGAACCAGCTTTGCAGACACTTTGATCTTGGACACTTTTGATCTTCTCCCAGGTCCCAGCTCAAACCTCCAGGAAGAGGCTGTCCCCAACCTCCAACCTTCCACCTCTGACCTCTGCAGCACAAACGGCAGCTCCAGTGCCTTTTATTCCTTCACAACGGTTTGCATGTTCGTGCCCTACCATCGTCACCACCTCAGTTTCTTCAGCACCAGGACTGCAAAAGCAGCAGTTCAGCTCCCTCCTGGGCTCCAGAAGGTCCCCTCTCCTGTCCATCCTGCACGACTCATCCCAAAATGCCCCTTTCCCTCATTCTCCACTCAGAAGCAACTCCTCACACCCTGATTCCACTGTCCTTACAGCATCTCTTCCTGCCAACACTGACCGTGTATTCGCCACAGGTCATTTCTTTACATGTCCGTCATCTCCCCACTGGAACATGAGAGCTGAGGGGCCCGCCCAGGATCTGTGCCTCCCCAAAACCCCGCACAGTGCTTGGTGTACACTGGGCACCCGACACAAATCTGTGGAAGAGACGTTGGCATGGGTGGGGAGTGAAGCCGCTGACCAGAGGCCAGGAAGGCACCACCCTGGGCACACGGTCCCCACCAGAGCCGTCCAGGACCCGGCCTGCATGCCAGGCCTTCTGACACCCGGCCCACCTCCCGGGTGGCAGCGAACAGGGCTCTTCTTTCACTCGCCTATTCTGACCCTGAATGTAACGGATTTATTTCTGAATTCAAATAAAGAACAAGAAAACATGTGCCAGTCACCCTCCAGCACTTCCGTCCGTGACGTTAAATCCTGAGGCAGCACTAACGTGGAGGCCACCCCACTGGGGAAGGACACACACCCGCCGTCACAGAATCACTCTCACACGTTCCCCAGGGTTGGGCACTGATGCTCAGACCTGCTTCCTCAGAGCAACTCCTGACAAGGACACGCATGTGACCTCTGCTGCCTCATTTCAGGCCAGGCCATGGAACACGCCGGAGGAACCACGGCGGAGTTTGTAGGAGGAAGACGCCTGCACACTGGGAGGCTGAGAGGCTGCTGGACATGCTGTGAGATGCATTTGATTGTTAGCAAATGGCTCCCAGAGAAGGAAACTGCTCAGCTGAAGGCCAAGGGCCCTTTGCCGTCCTCCCCTCCAACGTGGAGAGGAGAGGCCAGAGAACTGCAGCCAGCGAGCCTCCAGGAACCCACCCCCAGCACGACGGCAAAGTCCCCCCAGGGCCAAACGGATGCCAGCACCAGGACAGCGCTCTCGGAGACAGACAGAGGACGTCGCATCAGAATGTGCGATCCCAGCTGCACAGCCCAGTGCGACAGCGGTCGGACTGGAAACACCCATTTGATCTTCCTGTCACCTTCATGCCTGCGCTCACCCACTTGAAAGCAAAGCCTCTCGCCTGCTTAGGCACACAGACCAGGCAAGTCAGGGTTACCGGGAGGAGAAGCGAGGGCCGGGAGGAAACAGGGCAAACGAGAGCACGCCCCGGCAGGCCAGGACACCAGGGGCACTACGAAAGGTGGCCCCAGCTCTACAGCTGCCGACCAACCAGCAAGGAAACAAGCTCAGGGGTTTCCCTCTCATGTGAGGTCACCAAAACACAGGCTCCGGGTCCGGCCGAGGGCAGGGTGCGTCCCTACACAGTCCAGGGCTAGAGAGAAAGGCAAGCCGGTGTCTCAGGGCGTATGGAGACCTGGCCACCGGCTCCTGCGGCCGAGGCTCTGGGAGATGGAAGGCCCACTCCGCCCAGGGCAGCCCACAGCCAGACCACGTCTGGTGCGGGTCAGGCCACACGCCAAGGGAGCAGGGGCCATCTCCCTGCTGTGTGGGCAATTTCTGACTGTGCTTTTTAAGTGCCTTTTTTCACACTTGTGCCATTATCTAGTTAGCGGCCTGGGATGGGGTAGGTGCTTATCTACTTGTTTAACCTTTTGTTGATGTGTCCCAGAAAACTTTCAGTTGCCTTGTAAGGTGTTAAAGAGTTACTGAAACCTGTTATGGCCCAGCTAATAAACACCGTTTAGGGAAGAGGAATCACCAATCGCCATCCTATGATTGCTCTGTATTTTCATTGCCAAAAGATGCAATGCAATTTCATGGTTACTTGGGCCTGTAAAATAAAAATACCCCCAATTTTTAAGATATGAAAAGGTTTATGACCAGGGGACATCAGTTTAAGAATGAGTCCATAGTACAAACGAGTCAATTCATGACAAAATTTAATTTCAGGAAAATTAACTCAATAAAGGTGTCACACTTGTGCTTATATTTTAATACCTATTAGGTGTTTTAGGGAACTGGTGAAGGAGCGTGGACGCACAGATCCGTTTTCTGGCTCCCTAAAATGCAACTGACTTAATATCTAATTTATCCATAATGGGGACAGAACGAACAGGAACTCTGCTTAATGAGGGGCCAGGTCCTGAACAGCCTAACCCATCATAAATGGCGAGCATTCGCAATTTACGGGAGATTAAGTTCTGCTTCCTGAGACCTCGTCAACAGCCCCCGGCTGTCGGCCACTTTACCCAACGGCCCAGGAAAGGCTTTATGTCCCAACAAATGTTAGCGGCCAGAAATTCTGTCGCTGCCGAAGAACCTAGAAAGCAAAATCAAAGCGCGGGATTTGGACGCAACGCACTGACTCTTCCTAATTTCTACAGCGGGAGTCATCAGAATAGACGAGCTGCAAGAAGGAAAAGCAAAGCCAAACACGGGGCTTCAGAGCCACGACACACGCCCAGGGACCGGGGCATGCGGGCCGGCGGCAGGAACGAAGCTTTGGGTATTGTTCCAGAGGACATGAAAACTAGGAGCAGCGGGCCACGCAAGTCGGCAGTCAGAGCTCCCTGTCCCAGGGGAAGAACACAGTCCAGACCAAGGCGTCCTTCAATTGGGGAGGAGGAGGGAGACCCTTCCAGCCTGCCACCACCATCTCCACAGCCGTCCACGCGCAAGGCTCTGACCCGGAGCCCAATCCCGCGCCTGGGACTAACACAAGACGCCGCCCCTGGAGCTCCCCTGTCCATCTCTGAAGGCAGCTGTCCCCGTCCAAGGTGGAGAAGGGCAGCGCCCACTGCAGGAGAAAGCCTGCGCTCGGAGTGAAGCATGAACTCCAGCCTCCACGGGGATTCGACTCCCAATCCCGCTATCATGCCTGCCACCTGTGAGCGAGGATGAAAGGCCGCGTGTCACCCCGCAGCATAGCCTCAGCTTCCGCAAACATCGCTGGCAAAATGAAAAGGTGCTAGAATAAGCAATGGGACATTCGAGGGAACAAAGGTGGTTTGTTCCGGAAAACTCAATCTCCTGAAGAAATGAGTTTCATCAAAATTGGTGGCGAGTAGAAAATTTCATATTGCACTAAATCTGTCAGTGATTTTTTGAAAACCTTTATTATGAGTAACTCAAAACACAGCCAGCACGTGAGTCTAAGTGTGAGTGTTTCTGGCAGGTGTGGCTGAGACCCACCCAGAGTGACAAGTACCCCATCATCCCCCTAGGACCCTGCCAACATGTAAATTGCTAGCAAGCACTGGGATGGGGACGCTGTCACCACACAGCTGGAATGACATTCAGCTACAACAGAATCATAGAAAGTTCTTTTTTCCTGTTTTACATCTACTCAGATGACAAGAACATCGAAATTTGACTTTTAAAAGACCTCAGATTGGGCCGGCCGAGTGGTGCGTTGGTTAAGAACTGGCTTGGGACACCAGAGGGCCCCAGTTTGGAACCCACATATGAGGGCCAGTGACACTACCTTCTACAGCTAAGATGCTGAACAACAGCTCAACCTGGAGCTGGGCTGCCCTGAGTCGCCGGCGACTGCAGGTGGGTTGCCATGGGCTACCGTGTGTAGCCAGCAGCCGCCATGAGCGGCTGTCCAGAAGCCGGCGCCTGATCTGCTTCACCCGGGAAGAGCGCAATGATGGTGCCAACTTGGGCCAGTGAAGTGACGTCCTCCACAACTAGACTGAAGAACAAAACTGAAGAGCAACTTGTCTGTTCCCCTTCCCCCAATTCCCCAATAAAAATATTTAAAAAAAAATAAATGAAATAAAATAAAAGACCTCAGATCAATGGAGAGGAAGGTTTGAAGGCAGAACCAAGGGCGGCACGCAGTCCCCAGCAGAGGGAGCACGGAGGACCCGCCAGTCCCTGGTGGGAGGGGCCAGGACGGCTGGCCCCTGGTGGGAAGGACAGGAGCACTCACCTGGTAGGTGTCCCACAAGCGGATGGTGCAACGGAGGGGCACCTCCCTCATCAGCAGGTTGTTCATCCAGCGGAAGGCGAACTGTAGGTACCTCACCTCGTGCTGGTCCAGGTGCCGGTGGACTTGCTCTGAGGAAACAAACACAGGCCGGAGGCTGTCAGGGAGAGCCCTGTGCAGGTCCCTCCACAGCCACGTGGTCTGTGCCCAAGGCCCGTGCCCACCCACAACCATCGCCAGGGACCCCAAGCAACGTCCCTCGAGGAGCAAAGAAGGCATTTCTATTAGAAGACTTCACAGTTCGCTCTTCCTCGAGGAAAACAAACATGGGTGGTGACCATGACGAGAGCTCCACGTGCTGAGTGCGCGCCACGTCGCGGAAGCCATACCCCACACCCCACACCCAGTAAGAAGGTCGAGGACACCTGCCTTACGGGCAAGCACACTGGTCTGAGAGGCTCCTGTCGGGCCCACGGGCAGAGGCCCCTTCTCCTGCGCAGGGTGGGCCCACCAGACGGGAGGAGACGAGCTCCCGGCTCCCGAAGACGACCGGCTCCAACCTCACCCAGGCAAACGCCCACCTGCTCCCTGCGGGCCCGGCCAGAGAGCGCCAAGTGGGGCACGGCCCTGAGCCCTGGGCCAGTGCCGCTGGATTCCAGGTCCGGGGCACCGTGAAGATGGCTGGGCCTCTGGGAAGAACCAGGCTTTACAACCAGCATTTCCTGGGCACACGATCGCCTATCCGCCGTGAAATCACCTGCCCCTCCGCGTCGCGCGGCAGCAACACAGCTTAGATCGCTGAGTTGCCGGCCCAGACCCCTCTGCCGGGCTGTCAAAAGCCTTCCCTGCGAAAGCCTTCCCTTCTGTCGGAAAGGCTTCGGAGCTCCGTGAAGCTCCACGTGTGTGGATCTGAATGTCACTGCAGGAAGCAAAGGCCCGGTGATCATGGCAACCACACTCCCATTCTCTAACGGGCCGCCCATGACCTTCCAGTCGGAAGGGCCTGGGAAGTACAGTGCAGCTTTATAACGCAGTCAGTGCTGCTGACTGATCCACACGGCTTCCTTCAATCGGGGCCACCCAAGTGTCACTAAAACCCTCCCTCCAGCCACGTGTTCTTCAGCCTCCTGAGTCACAGACACCTCGGTCCCTCCAGGGCTCCACTTCCCCGGGGGCCTGCCCTGAAAAGCGACCCTGAAGAAAGTACACAGGTTTTACAGTTTTCCCAAAGAAAGTTCTAGAAATGGCCAATAAACAAGCGTAAGAGAGAAGTTAGTGCACTGTCGTTTGCTGGTTTGTTTTGACTCGTGTTCCGATAACTTGCAATACTGCAGAAACAAGGCTCTCCTGACCACTAAGCTCGAGGAAGGGGGACTTGCGGGGTGGGAGGACCTGCCCTGACTCCCGCCATCCTACAGATGGGACGTGGCTGGGAGGCGCTCTCCCCACAGGAGACGGGGCTCTGTCGGCGCCCACAGACAAGCTCTGGGCAGCTCTGGTTCCTGGAACTTGAGCCAGTTTCTTCACTGCCTCTGCTCTCACTGTCACCCCAACACGTCACCCCACCCCCAAAAGGCGGCCGTCCTTGGCTGACCAGAGCTCACACACCTGAGCAGCCCCAGCTCAGGAGGCCGGGTGTGGAGGCAGTGAGGGCTGGGCATGAGGCCCCGTCAATGCTGTGGAACAGGCAGCAACACAAGGTCACTTCCCACCAGACAGTGACCTGTTACAAGGGCTCCCCTCTGAGCCCCTGCAGCCAGCTGGGAGCCAGCTACCAGGGAAGGGGTGGCGGCTTTGCAAGAGGCTGATGGGACCAGGTGCAGGGACCCCAGAGGCCCCAGCCTGCACATGCTGCCTCCGCAGGGACAAATTTGGGACCGAGGGCTCCAGGTGAGCACAGGGCAGGCCTGGGCTCAGGGTGCCGGGGCCAGGAAGCAGGCAGCCGGGAGGAGCCGGCAGGGGGGCTTCTCAGGCTGGGGTCTGCTCACCCCGTAGTCAGCTCCTATGGGCAGGGCTGCTCTCCCTGGACGGGTGGTTCCTGTGCCAGGGGAGGGGTGCCTCACTCTGCTAATCTGACGGGCTCTGGCACAGGCCCGTGCAAACATGATGGAACCCTGCATTTCTGCATTAGCAAAGCCCCATTTGTCCTCCCCGTGAAAGCAGAGGCACCAGGGGCTGGAAAGGGCTGGGAGTCGGGGAACCTGCCGGGGTCAGGACGAGAGTCGGCTGGAAGCAAACAGGGTACCTTAGGGCAGTGAGGACAGATCACCCTGAGAAATCTAAAATCCTCCTTATACTAAAACAAAAACAAATACGCATTACGGCATGAAGGCAATTAATCATCGTTAGTTTTTTGGATAAAACCTAACATTTCAATGACATTTCTTTTTGCACTGGGCCTCTCCAGCTCCAGCTCCCAAGCCCCCCCTCCCACCACCACAGATGAGGGCTTGTCCCCCCACCTTAGGGCACTGGCGAGGGAACAGGGAAGAGAGGGTCGAGGAGTCCGGGCCTCAGCGCCAGGCCAGCTCATTGGTTGGTGGGCTTGACAGGGGTGCAATCAAGGCTGACTTAGGGTGACCTCAGGGTTCCCACACAGAGCTGGGCATCTTCCTGATCTCGGTAGCTGTTAAAATACAGGTTGTAAGGCTCAGCTCGACTTTCTCAACCAGAATCTTCTAGGTAGGATCTGCGAATCTGTATGTAATCAGCTCTCCAGCCACATACCTGTGCTGGGGACCCTCAAGGGGCAAATTACACCAGGAAGCAGCACCCAACAGCCCCCAGGGGCAGACAGGACCCCAGCTTCCCACACAGGGTCCCCGTGACAGAGGCTCCCCCCCAGGACAGGGCTGGTGGAACCCAGACGTGGTGTGGCATTGAAGTTTCCATAACAGACTTCTAATCAACTTACGTTTTATCAAATGCATTTATTTTTTAAATGAACTTAATTTCATGACCAAAAACAAGCTGCCCTTGCTCTGGTGGAGGGTGAAGTGACGAGGGAACTGTCGCCTGTAAGGCGCTGGGTGGAGCCTCTACGGGGAGGAGACCCAGCAGAACCGATGGCACAGCTTTCACTGAGACAAGCACAAGGACACAAAGGGGCCGTCCTCTCCCTGTGTCCCTGGCCTGTCATCCCGGGGGCGCTTAACGCCATGAGGGGTGTCCACTCAAATGACACGCAGTTTGAGAAACACTGGCCCACAGAATAAAGCTGGAATGCCTTAGGAGGAACCTCCCTTCTCAGCCCTCACTCCTGCCCCCACGCCCCGTGTGTGCTCAGGTGGCCCCAGGTGCCCGATGCTGCCCGGCCACAGGACGAGCCTGCTCTGCCAGGGCTGCAGCCTCCCAGCCCATCCCCGTCCAGGGCAGAACGCGAGCACACCCTCTGACGCCCCCGCGGTCCGCAGCCCCCTCTTCTTGGCTCTACAAACACCCCGGTAAAGTGTTTATCGCCGTGTACTGGGCTTCACCGCCGAGGGGTCCGTGCCCACCCCTGGGAAGTGGGCTGCTCTGGGGTCCAGTGCCCGAGCCACCTTTGTTTCTCCAGCCCCTGGTACATACTAGGTGCCAAATGAGAAAGCGAGTGAGTTGAGTGAATGAACGAAGAAAATGTGCAACCGAAAACATGCAGAGACCTGATTTGTTGGTCCTATTTCTCCACATGGCAATACTGAGAAGTTTTCCAACAGTGCAGTGGAACATTCTGTTGTTTTTAAAGAATTAAGATGTATTTCTAACCTGAAATTATCAGCAGCTACAAAACTAAACCTCTAGAAAGTTCTTCAGGGCCCTAAGAGGCCCCTCCACCCAGAGCTGACCTTTGCCCCTTCCCCAAGGGCAGAAGCCCGGCCGGCAGGGACAGCCAGTCCCTGTCTCAGCCCAGGGGACTGACCCCAAGGGAGGAGCGCTGCTGGTCACCGTGAAATTCAAACATGACAAACACTTGAAAACCAGCAGTTGAGAAAATGACTAAATTTACTGAACAAGACTCTTTTACACAGAAAAAGAGGAATGTGCTGCAAAGAACCCGCAGCTGGCAGCGTGGGAAGAGCAGGCTCGCCGATGGTGACAGCTCTGAAGAGGCACCAGGAAGGAGGGGCCGCTGCAGGGGCCGCGTCCCGGGCTGCAGCCGGGCCTGCCGGGTGGCTCCTGGTCCTCCCTGGGCACTCCCAGCCGGCCGCTCTAGGAGCGCAAGTGGGCTGCAGCCAGTGCCCAGTCCTGACAGGTGCCAGCCAGAGACAAGCGCGGCGTAGGTCAGTGGCCTGGGGCCTCCTGGGCAGAGGCCAGCCCACCGTCCCCACTGGTCTCCAGCACTGGCACAGCACAGCCCCAGCGCCCCCAAAGTCAGCCGTGGCAACGTCACATTGTAATAATCAGGAAGGAAGTGCCAACTCCAAGTTTACTAACATGGATTCAAGTGATTTTGTAGCAGGTTCCAGGACTCCTGGATGCTGGCTCACATGCCCTCTGTCCCACGGTAACAGTTTGTTAGCTGGGGAACTGCACCGCCCAGTGTACTGACCAGCAGCCGTTACCCAGGCTCTCACTGGAGCCCCAGCAGGAGCCCAGCTTGCAGGGCTGGGTCTTTCCTGGACCGTGACTTCCCGCAGGGCTGGGACCTTGTCTGGGCCGCAGGCTGGCACGGAGCCTGGCCTGGCGTGTGCTCAGTGCTCGGCACGGTTGTTAGACACACAGGACCGGGCCAGGGGCTGGGTGCCCTTAGGACACAGGGACAGGGTGACCGCTTGGGGAGGAGCTGCCCACAGCGAGGGACACACACCCGCCGCAGCCGTCCCACCAGGACCAGGCTTTGCCTGCAGCGCTTCCAGCACACGAGGAGAAGATGCCATTTTTTGAACTGGGAAAACCAACAGCTCTAATATGTGCCTGGGAAGCACACGACACCTTTCTAAGGTAACCGGCAAGCAAACCGATTTGGAAAATTAAACTCATATTTCTGGAACATCTGCCACTGAAGTATCCTAACTGAACAGAGTAAACATTAACCCTTTCTCTTCTGTGGTGAGTCCCACCTGAGGCCCCGCCTGCAACAGGTATAAGAGCGGGAAGCCCTCGGCCCCTCCCATGCGATGTGGAGGGAGGCGGCGTCTCAGGCTTGGCCAGA